AAGTTCAATAAAGCCAAGTGCCGGGTCCTGCACTTTGGCCACAACAACCCCCTGCAGCGCTACAGGCTGGGCACAGAGTGGCTGGAAAGCAGCCAGGCAGAAAGGGACCTGGGGGTACTAATTGACAGGAAGCTCAACATGAGCCAACAGTGTGCCCAGGTGACCAAGAAGGCCAATGGGATCTTGTCCTGTATCAAAAATAGCGTGGCCAGCAGGAGCAGGGAAGTGATCCTTCCCCTGTACTCTGCGTTGGTGAGGCCACACCTTGAGTATTGTGTTCAGTTCTGGGCCCCTGTAGTGGTTTGAACCTTGTTCTCCCCAGAGGCTAAGAGAAGTGGTAGACCCCAAGGGGTGGAAACCCCTGGAAGTTTTGAAGTTCTGCCCAATGGGCGCTCCTGCAGAAATGTAAACATACCACAACCAGACCGGAAAAGAAGAGTTGTAGTTTTGTTGTAGGAGAGGTGGCCATGTTGTAGAGCCACGAGGTAGGGGCTCTGAGCCCCTTGGGGCCTCTGGCCCCCTCCCAGCCCCTGGCTGGGGGCTGCAGGGACCTGGAACAGCATAAAGCTGGGCTAGGTGCCTGTAGTATGCCGGGAGATGTTTTCTCCATGGGCACAGAGCAGCAGCCGACACTGACCAGAGAAACAGTGGCAGAGAGCCAGAGATAAGAACCTGAGCTGAAGAAGCAGCAGAAGCAACATGCAGCACTGCAGAGGAGACTCCTGGAAGGAGAGTCGAGGAAAGGAGAGCCAGCAGCTGAGAGCTACAGAGTTCTTGGGGGTAAGACTGATACCAGATCCCCAAAACTCCTTTGAGACCTCCTGGAAGGAGGAAGATGATGGACTCTTACTTGAAAGAGCCTTGAAGTGCGACATGCACTGTAGAAAGGAGCTAGAGAGCTCCGAAAGGAATGCAGGGGGAGTTGACCTTGGCTCTCCCCCCCCTTGCACTGCTGCCACGGTGGCAGCCTGAGAGACAGGGCACAGAGGCCCTGCAAGAGATACCAGACCGTCACGAAGACCCCCCTGTGTCTTCGTGATATGACGTGGTGATACGACCTTGTCTGGGGTTACGAAGCCCACGGAAGACCCCCCAGTTGTGAGGCGATGGGGCCGGGGGAGCTTGAATACCTCCCTCGTGGACGCTGGCAGAAAGCCAGCTATCAGCTGCTGCATGAGATGAGAAGAAACCTGCTGCCTTAGAAGATGCTGCTGTTCAGAGACTGGAAGGGATCTGTCCTTTTTTCCCTCCTGGACTTTTATTTGGAGGAGAGAAGAGATCTGATCCATTGTAAATACATATGTCATGGTAGAGATAGTTTGTGATCATGTGTATAATGTGATATGGTATTTATTTGTACAGTCATTGTAATATATTTCCCTTTTCCCCACTTTGGAGTCTGGTGTGTTTTGTCTGGAAAAACCTCTCTCACATTAGGTTGAGATGTGGGAGGGGGGGATGGAGCTAGGGAATTGGATTTTTGGGGCTATCTCAAACCATGACAGCCCCTCAGTTTAGAAAGGATATTGAGGTGCTGGAGCGGGTCCAGAGAAGAGCAACAAGGCTGGTGAAGGGACTGGAGCATAAGTCCTATGGGGAGAGGCTGAGGGAGCTGGGGTTGTTTAGCCTGGAGAAGAGGAGGCTCAGAGGTGACCTCATCACCGTCTATAACTACCGGAAGGGAAGTTCTAGCCAGGTGGGGGTTGGTCTCTTCTCTCAGGCACTCAGCAATAGGACAAGGGGGCACGGGCTTAAGCTCCGCCAGGGGAAATTTAAGTTGGATATCAGGAGAAAATTCTTTACAGAGAGAGTAATCAGGCATTGGAATGGGCTGCCCAGAGAGGTGGTGGATTCAACATCCCTGGAGATTTTTAAACGCAGATTGGACGTGGCACTGAGTGCCATGATCTAGTAAATGGACTGGATTTGGACCAAGGGTTGGACTCGATGATCTCGGAGGTCTTTTCCAACCCAATCGATTCTATGATTCTATGACTTGCCCTTCCCTGCTGCTGCTCAGAAGCATAGTCATAAGTAGGCTTTGGATTCTGACTATGCTCTGCTCCCTGAAGCTACTCTATGGGAAAGTCTCTGTGCCCAGCCTGAATGAGTGGCAATTTTTTTGCTCACTTTCCCTTGAATCAACAGATAACAGAGGGATAACTTGATATTTCTAAAAATTACAGTTAATTTGGGTTTACTGTCTCTAACCTGTGGCTTAAGCAGGTAGTAATGGCTAGTTCAGCCCTAGCAGAAACAGAGGGAAGCAGTTCTTGGACAGCTGGGCTGTATTTTTCCAAATGCACAAGCAAATGTACTTCACACAAAGAACTGAATTTTTTTTTCTGGTGTTACCAGTTCAGGATTTAATACATGCCTTGACCTCTTGTCTTTGGCACATGCAATAAACTTAAGCAACCCCTTCAACACTGCTGTTCACCTAAGGCCAATATAAAATGTGGCAATAACGACTTCCACATTTTTCTTAAAAAATTATTTTATAATACCTTAAAATTTGCATCTCTGTTGCCTTCAAATTCTGTCTCCTTTTGAAGGCTGCTTTTTACATTGACAAAAAGCCTGGAAATATGCCATCCCAGACACCTGCTAGGAGCCTTCATCATCCTCTGCAGTGTCATCCTACAACAGCTTTGGCAACCAGCAATCCATGTTTTAGCTGAGACCAGACAGGTTTGGGGATTTTTTTTTGGAAATCAGATTGACTTGGATATTGTTTGGCTTGAGTTTTGGCTCCACTGCATTTCTGTCAAGTGCTTTACAAGTGTGTCTGCCTCCCCCAAATTCTCCCTAATTTATATTCTATTTGTGTTAGAATTTGCCTATCCTAGGAAGTCAGAGCAGCCACCAGCCAGCCTACCCTCCTGCCTCCAGCAGCACATTTTGCCAAAGTGTTCAGGGATGCTGCAGACTTTTTCACAGTGTGAATTGGAGGGCCCCTCACTGTACATATTTCAGTGACATGAAGAATATCTTAACATAGATGAATGTATAGAAGTGTGATTTCTCCAGAGTCTGGCTGCACTCTTCCCCTCACCCTGTTGATGTTCATACCCTTTTTAAAGCCCTATGCAGTCAACCATACAGAGAAACAAAAAGATACAACCTGTACCTGTCAACCCTGGAGCTATTTTTATGGTCCTATATTTTCATGCCTTTAGGAAAGCATCACTGAACACCTCCAAGAGGTAGTGGTGCTGTCAGACATGCTTCATTCAGCACTCTCCTCCTGTCACTTGCCACTGAACCTCTGACCTGAACTGATACACCTGGGCTTTATTATTCTCCAAATCAATGAGATCTCACTGTTTTCAGGCTAGACATTAGCTCATCTTCCATGGCAACTCAGTGAGGACAATGACATACAGCAGTTGCAAAGAGAAATGGTAGCAGGGAGGTGTGTTCCTTCCCCTTGGCATGTCCACCCAGTTTCTAACAGCTGGCACCTTAGCGGCATCCTGGGCTATAGCTTTATTAATATAATAAATAATAAACCCACACAGACCCGCCTGGTTGGGGGTCCCACAACCAAATCCGTTTATTCAAGTGAGACAACAGCTTCTATGTGGGTTCCAATAGTGACACGTCACACCACGTGACCTTAACAACCGATCACACCGAGGCACTTCCCTGCACGTGTGATGGAGTACTTGGGAAACCACATCTCCCAGGGTGCTGTTCGGCACCCCTCCTGTAACACCATCCCCACACTGGGCTGGAGTTTGCGTCTGAATTATGAGGTTTAATAGGCAACAGTAGGCCTGTGTTACCAAATCTGTCTAATCCTTTATTAAACAAATTTTAATTTTTGGCTTCTAATATAGACTGTAAGGTTTAGTTCCACAGTTGCATCGCGTGGTTTCTGAAAAAGAGCTTCCTTCTGCTTGCATTAATGCAGCTGCATGACCACTGCAACGGTGCCATCTTATTGAGTGTGATAATGGATACAGCACTCTTTAACCAAGAGTTAGCCAGCAGGTCGAAGGGGGTGATCCTTCCCCTCTACTCAGCACTGGTGATGCCACACCTGAAATGTTGTGTCCGGTTCTGGGCTCCATGGTACAAGGGAGACATGGACAAGCTGAAGAGAGTCCAACAAAGGGTCACTAAGATGGTTAAGGGACATCTGTGACATGAAAAAGGAATGTCAGAGCTGGGGCTGTGCTGCCTGGAGAAGAGAAGGCTCGGAGGGAAACTCATCAAACCTAATGGAAGGGTAGAGAAGGCAGAGACAGAATCTTCTGGAGAGTTCATGATAATGAATCAGGAGGCAATGGGTACAAGCTGGAACATGGGGTGTTCATCATGAGAGTGGTCAAACACTGGACCACGTTGCACAGCAAACTTGTGGAATCTCCAACCTTAGAGACTTTGACAGTTAGCTGGGAAACTCCCTGAGCAAGGTTGTCTGTTTGGACCTGCTATAACCAAGGGGTTGGACTTGATGACCTTTAGAAACCCTAAACTATTCTGATTCTATGAGTGATCACTTTCTCCCTACGTCCTCAACCGTATTCATTATTCCAGGAGTTCTAGGTTATTTAAGCGCCCCTCCTGTGGAAGTTACTCAGTAACTTTCTGCCGATCTTCGTATAATTTCTCGTTCTCCTTCTTTAGATGAGGTGACATGCAGCCACCAGTAGCTTAGCCCTAGAAAAAAATGAATTTCTGTTTCCTCAGAGCTTGAGCTGGTGTTGGTCTCTTTTTGGCACTGGCAGTAACTGTTTATGGTCTGTTTCAGCGACGCATGCCTCCCATAAACAAAGACATGAAAACTTACAGTCACAGAACAAATTCAAGTACTCCTTCTCTTCATGAGTATGCCAACAGCCTAGTTTTGGCAGAAGTCACAGCACAGCAACCACCAGTCTTTGGTTTTGACCTCACAATTGCAAGAGGATGCACAGATACTCTGCGTGGAGGCATCCCCGTGCAACTCTTGTGCTTTCCAACTCTGAATGCTTCCACCATCTTCTTTCACTTTTCATGAGAAGCTGCACATCAGAACCATCACACATCTGCACACTTGTAATGACTTAAAGAGCACACTCAAGGCCACAGAAGGAACTTGCCGTAAGATAAGCCACCGCAGTGGGAACTTGAGAATAGCAAAGAAGGGAGGAATTTGTGAGAGCAAGGCAATAATCCCAGGCCTGGCAGAGGTGAGATCTGGTTGCAAATCCTGGTTAATGCATTCAGACAAAAATTCCCACTGTGGCAAACTGGGAGAGGAAGCAGCTACTCATACACATAGCACCACTCAAAGAAAGATCACATTAAGTTATGGGAATGACATGTGCAACCATCCCATGGATACTCGGAACTTGGACTGTATAAAGGTGCTAACTCCAGAAGAACAAGTCCAGGACCCCCACCACTGAGAAGACCAGGGTGAAGAAGGACCAACGGGACACTTTTGGATCCACAGGTGGCAACTATCTTCTGCTTGATATCTCTCTCTCTCCTCTTTTTTCAATTTCCTTTTCTCTCTCTACCTCACATTCACTGTTAAATAAAATCTGTATTGTTGACTTTGGCATATGGTCTCATCTGCACCTTAATTCAGGCAGAGGCATCTCTCACTAATTGGATCTTAACAACACTGGGCGTCATAAGGTGCTGAATTAGGCTTGGAGGAACCATGCCACTTGCTCTGTCCTGTAAAGATATACTACTAGACGTGGTCTTAAACATCCTATGAGCTCCCCATACACCTTACAGTGTTTCCTTTTCTCCCACACATTATATATGATACCAAGGACAGAATGTAACTCAAGGCTACAACATCGAAGTGCAGATGTCTGCATGAATGTTTTCACAGGCAAAGTAAATGTCTAAGTACCCAGTGGGATTGAAGGGATTGGTACAGTAGCCTGCACATGAGTGTTAAATGCCATTTGGGATCTCCTAGCGTAGCTGACCTTGTATGCAGAAGCTGCTTCACTGAAGTGAGATGTCACCATAAAGCCTGTGTTATTTTGACCAGCCTTATGCAAATGGATCAGATGCCCTGAGGCATCTCAGATATTACTCAGTCCTTGTCTTAGCTACTGTCTATAGCTTTCTGGCTCCACTGACCACTTTTACTAGTGGCTTGTTCAGTTTTTCCACAGACAGACACCAAGGGATGCTGGAGACCCATCAGCTTTGACTGCCAGTCCAGTGAGGATGCCTAGTGAGAAAATGCCACTGTCCTGATACATGAAGCATAGACAAACACCAACCATTTCTTCCAGCTGTTCAAGCACTATAGCTGGAGGAAAAGTTTTGTTAACATACTGATTTAAATCCTTGTGAAACCATCAGATGAAGAATCATCCTTTTATATATATTCAACTCTACAATTTTGATTCTTCAGCTCTAAGGTCACCAGAGTAATGAAACCATCCTTTTTTCTTACTTTTGCCTTATGTAAGAATAACATTCTTAAAGACAGGAATTTCATGGCAAGTGTTCTTTTTAGCTTTGTCCTGTACTGTGCTGGCAGATCCCTTCTGCCCTGGAATACATCCCCACAACCTCTCTTTGTATCTCTGGTTCCCAGCTTCTCAAATGAGTGCACACTTTTAATGAGACCAAGGGACAGAGATATTTCCATCAAAGGAATGCAGACATTTCCCCTGTGTCTAAGCCTTTTTCTACCTTTTTTTTTTTATCTGCAGCTTCCATCCCACTTCAGAGATGCCAGTCTTCTCAACCTCCATCCTGAACTTCAGCCATTTGCCTTTTATTCCCTGAATTTCTTTTAGCAATGGTATCACTGCTTTAAACACCATGTTGGTTTATTCACCTTTGCCCAGTTAAATATGAATAAAAACTCCATTTGTTTTCAGGCTCCATCTCTCTTCATGGTGTCCATTTTAAAAAGTTTTCACTGAAATTGATGGTGTGTTTTTGTCCATACAGTGTGTGCATCCTTATAGAGGCTCTCTGTAAACTCTCACTGAGCAATATACTCCACCATAATTCTAGCATTACTTTCCAAAGGTCAGACCTTGTCATAGCTTGTGGTATTAGCCAAAGGACATCTAGTTTCTAACACTGATTTTTGAAGACTGCAGATTCAAATTTTGCTTCCTTTTTATTAACTTATGTAATACTTGGCTGTCAAAGAGTTAGGCACATTTTGGAGGCTTCATAGCAGGCTGGATTTCAATTTTACTTAAAAAAATCTGTTTGTTCTATTGAGGATTATTCCTAGGTCTTGCAGGAACTTTGCTTTAAAACTTTTGACCCAGTTCCCAGTCCTGCTGGGACTGGGATTTATATTTCTGCTCATAAATATAAATTACTAAAATTATAAAATATTATCAACAATCACAAACCTGAAACAAAGTCTATTTAGTACTATGGAAGCACATCTAACACGTCATTTCACCACTATTCCTCTTTTTGTTTTAATGCAGTAGCACAACTTCATTATCAGTCTGAGTTAATTGCAAGCTCTTAAAAACAGAAAATGCTTCAGAACCAGCAAAAGCCACAACGATAGCCTTTTAGTCTTTTAGCCTCTGTAGTCTTATTTTGCATGAGACACCAAACTCAAACCTTGTCCAGTTGTTTTCCACATTTCTGGAGAATTTAATAATAATTTTCCTTGGTTGGTTGGTTGGTTGGTTTTTGTTTGTTTGTTTGTTTTAATGTGCTCCACTCTTCTTCTGGGAAATCTTCTTAGTTAATTTTATTTTTGTAGCCACACAGCACCCATTTGGCTTTAAGCTGCAGGACACAGCAGAACAGCTTTGGCTGCTCCTGACCAGCACTTGCCAGCATCTGCTGAGGTGCAGCTACACAGCCTTCCACCCTGCTGCTCCAAGAAAGGTGATAATAACAGATGGATACAACCACGCATGTTTAGGAGGCAGCAGGAAGACAATTTACAGACTTAATATGTTACCCTAGGATTACAGGGCATCACACATCCGCTTTATTGCTGCAAACATTACTCCTGCCCTGCCTAAACGTAATGGATCTTTTGTGCTAAATGAGTCCATCAGTTTATGCCCTGAGACAAATGCCTTTCTTACCCTATGCCTGTGAGTGCTGTGAAGCCCAAAAACTGGCACAAAGCAAGAATTCAGCAGTGTATAGGGAAAGGTAAATAAGGTATTTGTATGGCATTAAATGATGGGCAGCCTCCTTCACAGAATTCAGGCTGTAGGGTTAGTTGTAGTGGGGAAATGAAAAGGATAATCTTTGAATTGGAGTGAAACCCACCATTTCTTCTTCGGTTATATGTTTAATGTATCCCTGTTGGTGACCAAGTCAAGGAGCAAAAGCATGACTCGCTCTCACTTCAAGCTGCAGACCTATTATCCTACCAGTGGGAAATAAGGCTTTTGCAGCCTATTATGGGAAGTAAAATTGTTTCATCCTCAGGAATCTAAGTATTTCATGAGCTAGCAATAGGGAGCCCATACAAAGCTATAATTTGCAATCTGAATCTAATTTCAAACTTCATCTCACCAAAAATGAAAATTAATATATGAAGGGACGCCTTGTATCACAAGTACTCTCTTTCTGAATTCTATTACCTTCTGAGTTAACTCATAATTTAGCTTTTTTAAACAAATCAAATTGAAATTGATGGATGTTTAATTTCTTTGTGTACTGTATCTTAACAAATTGCAGTCAGTTTCAGATAAAACCAAGTGTACATAATACGAAATAATCTTGTCAGGAAACCTACTTGCTTAGGCTGCAGAGTTTTCAAATCTTCTTGGCATAAACGAGAACTTTTAATAGACCATATCCAAATGTGTTGTGACCATGTGGTCCTGCACATCTCCTGGAAATAGATGGTAAGGATGAATAATCACCACCCTAGACAAGGCTTAAACCTCTAATTCAATGCATACATAAAATATATACTTCTGATCTGAAGAATACTACACTGGAGAAGACAGGCTAGTCACAGCTTGTCTTAACGGGAGTGACAAGAAGGATTTTGAGGTACCAGAAAGACAATGTTTCCAAGTTAAGGTAGGACAGACAGCTACATTTTTATGCAGATAGGGTCTCTTGAACGATGTATTTACAAAAGACTTAAAGACTAGATTGACTTGATAGGTACAATGAACCCATGTACCAGGGGGTTTCTGTTACCAGCAGGAGCCTGCGTGGGCTGTGCAGGGAGCCCCTCACACATCAGGCCTGGGGTCACCTCACTTGCAACCTGGAAACAGATCCAAGCAGAGGAAAGGGTTGCATGTCAACACATATTGGCAATGAATGAAAGCACGTCCTGCAGTAACAGGAACCTGTAGCACTATACCTGATGAGAAACTTGTTTAAACATGTCTTAAAATGGCTCTTTGTGGTCTCTTTGCAAACACGTGTTTCTTCTTCCCAACACCCCCCCACAGCAACTGTTATCTCCCATGCAGGAGTGTCCTGGGAAAGGTGTCCTGAGGTGTCCCATTGGTCCTTTGTTTAACCCCTTCCTATTGGCTGTTGACCCCTTACCTGATGGTTTCTTTTGTGTGACCCTGAACTTGTGATTGGTTCCCCTTTGACCCTCCTAAAAGCCTTATAAACCCCTTCCCAACAATAAACTCTCTCTTGCCTCCTCTCCACGCCCGGTGTGCTGTCTCTGTGCCTGCCATGGAGCCACGTGGGTGCTGGGGGGAGGGGAGGGCACCTCTCCCCTCCAGGCTCGGGGCCTGAAAAACCCTGTTTCTGGAGTCCCCCTTCCCCGTCCCACAAGACGTCGGAAATGGTTCTTCAGGCGGAGAAGGAACTAGAGCTGGGCTCCCCCACGTCGTGGATGGGGAAAGGGAAACCCACAGGAACCCCAAGCCCTCTCTGATTACCAAAGGACCTTATCTGCTTGCAAATCAGCCATGACATTTTCCATGTTAAACAGTAGCCCCACTCTACCTTTTTGTCTTTTTTTAAAAAAAGATACACTTCAACTGTTCCAAGAATAAACTCAGGCAGAAGTTAAGGGAAGTAAATAAATTATCCTAACTAACTCCTTGATAAGGTCTTTCACATTTTCTACCAGACACTTGAGGTTTGGCATCTGATCACTCTCATGTTGGGGATATGCACTTTTCTGTCCCTGTGAAAGCTTCCTTGAATGTGGACCATGTGTCAGATACCATTGAAAGCTCTGCACACGGGTGCTCAGGGAAGATTTATCAGTCAAACACTTCTGGAGAGCCTGCTGGGAGGGGGCAGAGTGTGCTGCCTCCGCACTGTTGTACCCTGCCTGCCAGGGGCTGCTGCGGAACTGGCTGAGGGCTGGAAGGCACTTACAGCATCTATAGTTCCCACCAGTACACTCCCTGGGGATGCTTATATCTGAGATAAACAGGGAAGGCAAAAATACAAAGAAACACTCAGGTTAAAATTGTCCAACACCCTTAATTCAGTCCCTGACACATACATATTCTTATATTTAATTTCTTATATTTCCATAGGAATTGTTTAGTGAGCACTGATTTTCTCAGGTTTGCTTTGTTTTGCTTTTACTTAGGTGCTTTCACTTTTCAGATAGGAAATCTGTAAAAACAGTCTGACTGACATGGGTTAAGGAGTTTATGTCTCTGTGAAGGAAGAATAGTCACATGAAACACGAGTGCTTGCTTTTGTTATCGCTTCCAAGGGTCAGGTGGTACTTTTTTTTCTGACTTGCATTATCAGTTGCTTCAACTCAACTTGTAAGGACTGAAGAGCTCAAGGAGTTCAATACTGCATACTTACTCTTCATGTATTCCCATAGCTGAGCTCTCAGCCCTTTGCCAGCAGAGTAACAATATGATCCAGTATAAACCAGTGTAGACAAACGCAAACTATGTATATAAATCATGGTTCATGCTAATGGTAAAGAAACTGTTTATTGAGGAGTTAATCAAACTGACTTAAGTAATTTTCCAGAAACATTTAGCACTGTGATGTGCTTAAATACAGAGGAGAAGCCCAAGTGAGAAAACAGCAGGAATTTATAAGACAAAAATTTTCTCTTGGAAAGCCATGGAAACTCCAATTTCCATGACATCTACTGGGGCCTTTAAATGTCATTTATTTAGAATGATTTATTTAGATCCTAAGCAAGGTGGATCTACTATTTTGCATATCATATTTTTATGTGAATGTGTAGAAAATTGTGTAGTAGATTAGCCTTGCCTACTTTCATGAGCAACATTTTTATTATACCACTAACAAATATTTTTCAGAAGCAAAAGAAAGAATACACAAACATACCTGCTGCACTTTTTTATTTATGCACAAGTATTATTGCTAAATAATGTATGTTATTTGGCAATAGAAAGATATTCTTGTGCCTATTGACATTAGTATTGCTGTTTCTGCAAACAGTTAGATTTTTCATACATATTCATTACCTCGCCTTCCTTGACGCAGACCCAGGTAAGCAATCATCATTCAGTATTTCATTGTGCGAAATGGCAATAAGGAGTCTTGCAGCACCCACTGCTTTTACAGCCTCGGGCACAGTCCTTTAAACACTGCAGTTTTAAACATTGTTTCCCAGGGGCAGAGAGGCTGGAGAAAGCAGGTCCAGGAGCAGAAGTTCAGCTCCAGAGCTGGGGGTGAAGTGGTACAGGTCACTCGGAGCCCATGCATACATGTTCCTTCTTTCCCCTGGGGGGCAGCAGAATATTGCTGTTAAGGTCAACTCACTTGATGCTAAACTCTTGAGACTAATACAGCACAGCTTCCTTAGCTATGCTGAATTTTCCTGCCACGTATTCCTGCCATGCTGGAAATAATCTGTGGTGCTGCTGGATGGAAAGAACTTTACCAGGTGAGGAGACTAGGTTGAAATGTAATACCTCTAGTATTAAGTATAGAGACGAATTTCTAACCTGTAGGT